TAGGGAACCCTGTTAATAAATTGAAACCCTTAATTAAAAAAACTTTTTTTTGGATTTCAAAATCAATTAAATTTCCTTATATAACGCAATTAAGATATTGCCAAAAATTTGATTTCGAAGCGGGCCATATTAATAAATTGAAACCCTTAATAAAAAAAACTATTTTCTTCGATTTGAAAATCAGTTAAAATTTCCTTATATAACGCAATTAAGATATTGCCCAAAATTTGATTTCGAAGCGGACCCTATTAATAAATTGAAACCTTTATTAAAAAAACTATTTTTTTCGATTTCAAAATCAATTGAATTTCCTTATATAACGCAATTAATTAAAATATTGCACAAAATTTGATTTCGAAGCGGACCCTATTAATAAATTGAAACCTTAATTAAAAAAACTATTTTTTTCGATTTCAAAATCAATTGAATTTCCTTATATAACGCAATTCAAATATTGCCAAAAATTGGATTTCGAAGCGGACCTTATTAATAAATTGAAACCTTTAATTTAAAAAACCAAAAATTTTCACGGACCCTAATAATAAACATCCCGGGGTTAACTAGTTTTTATTATTAGGGGGCGAAACCCACCAATGGTAGCTTTATTTTTAAATTGTTTTCCAAAGGGGATCAATTAAAAGTCAAATTGGCCAACCTGAAATTTGCCAAAATGGGAGATGGACCCTAGTTTTTCGTATTTGGGGGGGGTTTAGTAATAGGGGGAAAGGATTGCTATGATCCAATATCAACTAATCATAGCCCAAACGAAAGGAAACTAAGAATGATCTCCAGTGCCTCCAGTGATCTCACGACCGGATCGCAGCCATGACACCCATCATATCATGTTACATATCCCGTTAATATTTATTAATGGTTATACATTGTAGTAATATATATATATAGATATACACTATATATACCCATATTAGAAATTGTAGTATAGCTTCCATCATGTACACATGATTGTCATTGACTGTCCCCTTATTGTTCCCGTTGTACCCTCCGATATCCTCATGGCATCCCCAGGAATGGACCTCACGTGCATCCCTTTGCGGCCCTGTCGGGAGCGTACTATGTGAATTGTGGTCCCTTGGACACCAAAAACATCGCGGGGATAGATCAAACGCTATACCCTCTGGGACGGTACTGTGGATGGGCCAGCGAAATCCGATCACCCACCAATTTGGGATGGTTGAAACCCTATAAATAGTGGGATGTTTACCACTTATCAGCTGGTGATTCGGATTTCGCTGGCCCATCCAGCATATGAAACATTACATGGACCTCCCAACAGCCAAGAAACAACGGTGCTTGGTATTCGCGTTGAAGATAGCCTGCATCAACAACGGTTCTTTGCAGAAATAGTGGGAATCTGATATCGATATCGATAGATAGATAGATAGATAGATAGATAGATAGATAGATATATATACGTATATATATTTACTATATTTACTATATTTACTATATTTACTATATTTACTATATTTACTATATTTACTATATTTACTATATTTACTATATATTATATATATAGACCTCTGTATGTCTGACAGTCTAAACAGCACGTCTTTCACCGCCACTTAGCAGCCACCAAGGAAACAACGCCACATCACGGCTGCCGTGTGCCATCAATCTCATGGATCCCAGGTGCAACCTGAATCTTCAAACGTTAAGAGGTTTTCTGTAGTTCAAGTGCTCTACAGGGTAGTCATTATAGCCATAAAAAAGCAGCATCTATCTATCATTATCTATAATCTATGTAATATATATATACAAATAGATATAACTATAGCTATAGATATAGATATAGACAGACAAACAGATAGATATTTGAACGTCACCATGTGACACGTTTTTTTCTCCAACCTTTGGCAGGCCTTCGGCTCCCATGGCAGCACTACCAGCAGAGGCCATGGTGTAGCGGGATATTTGTTCTGTACGGATCTAAAACCCATTATAACCAGTTGTACTACCCATCATAACCCATTTAAAAAACATGTCCATGGTGATATGTGTATCATTTTTGAGGATTTATGTTTCAGTTCAAATGGGTGAAACCTCAACATTGGCCAAGAATGCTAAGAAATTGGTCCAAAGGTTTTGACATTCAGTCACACCAGGATCGTGATGCGTCCCTAAAATTGCACCCCAAGGAGTTGAAGTTGACAGGAAAAGGGTTGACAGGAAAAGGTCCACAACAAGATATGGCTGCTTGGTGGTGTCGCAGGAAGTCAACATATATCTTCATTTCCATCAGACTTGTGATGATCATTCAATGTTTCAGGTTGTGTGGGGGTCCGAGTGGCTCACCAAACATAGAAGGGTGACTAGGAGAGCAACGAGTTGTGCTCGCGAGGTGCGAGATGCTTTGGACTTCGGCATTGTGTCTCGGCAGCAAGAACTGGGGAGGGGGCCATGTGTGGAACGTCCTGACGAAAGCATGGTGGATGGTGAAATGGATGGAATCTTGGATAGGCTGGGCACGAACGCATGAACATCTGGAACAAAACTTCTAGGTAAAGTATTATCTTGAATCTTGATGGATCTTTTGGATTTTTCGTGGATACTTCGGAACGCTTCGGAACAGGTTTGGCGGGAAACTCTAGTTGAACATGATCTGTTTGTAATTGTCCCGCATTTTTCTTGGTCAAACCCAGATGTTGAACCAATTTTTGCGGGATGTCAGCAGATTTCGGCTCCAAGGACTGGACGCTTTCACTGTGGCCAGGGACTGTGTTGATCTTCCCCTCCTGGCTCAGCCATTGGGTCAGAATCTCAGCCGGTCCCAATTTCGCGTCCGGAAATGCGGTATATGGGACCCCAATCCATTCATAAAACATGAGGAAAGTATAGGAAAGTATAGGAAAGTATAGGAAAGTATCCATTAAACCACTAGGAATGTATAGGAAAGTGCCATTATATATAGTTTCAACATGAGGAAAGTATAGGAAAGTGAGTTTCAAACTTTAAACCACTACTTTGGTCTTTCCAAATGACTTTTGGTCGCAGAAAAGTGCCAGGTGCCACCCAACTCCGCCCCACGGCAGCGGATGACCATCAGCTTCAATGCAGGCCGAAGCCCAGACCATGATGGATACCAAACATTCTGCGATTAGCGTCATAAAGGGTGGTCCAACCAGTACCAATCATACCCTGCCGATGAATGGCAAGACCTTGGGAAATATCACCGATGGACAAGAACTGCGGAACTTGCTACTCCGGAGAATTCTTCTTTGGGAACCCAGTTTGGAGCGTAGCAATTGGCAAAACCACTTGCTGTCGAAACGTGGTAGTCATCAGGCTATGTCGTTGGAGTTAGTTCCCTAAACAATCCGAGTTTTTGCAGTGTTAGGTTAGGGATGGTTTGGGTCTTTTTGCACAAGTCACTAGGAACAGCTTCTGTACTGAGCCGCCAAACGCCATCGCCAGGTGTCAAGGAGATCAGTCTTTGAGGCGATGGGAAAGTTGCGGCACGGACAGATAGGACAGATAGGACCCATCCTTGATCTGCTTGATCTTGAAGTATTCTGAAGGCATTGCAAGATTTGATGCGAGCTGCAGTTGCATTCAGGAGCCACTTTTTGTGCCCTTGTGTCGCTTTGGGTGTGCCAAGGGGCTCAAGTTGTGAACTTTTGCAGATTTACACTATCTCAAACTTCAGCTACCACTCTAACTAGCTGGTTTAAAGTATAGTCTAGTTGGACCACGGCCTTTAGAAGGCCGTGGTGTTTTGTACACATCGGGGGGGGTGGGGTGGGGTGGGGCATGTAATACCGTTCATGTGAACTTGCGGAGGAAGGACATGCTTCTCCGCAAGTTCTCTAGAACTTTCCACTCATGCGTCATGCTACGCTATGTAAGTTCTCTGGAGCTTTCCACTCATGCGTCATGCCACGCTATGTAAGTTCTCTGGAATTTTCCACTCATACGTCATGCTACGTTACTGGAAGTTCTCTGGAACTTTCCACTCATGCGTCGTGCCACGCTATTGTAAGTTCTCTGGAACTTTCCATGTGTTCATGTGGTGCTGGCGTTGTACCTTAAACAATCCAGATCCGCAAAGGTTCTTGGAAGAACTCGAAGCGTTGCTGTGACCAACACAGGAATCAAAACATGTCAGGTCGAATTAGGCGAAATGCTTGTTTTTGAAAATATGCACCAGAATAATGGGTTAACAGCCTTAAAAATCACATCAAACAAAATCCTATTGGCACGAGCACATCAAGAATCATCCATGATACACCGTTGATCACAAAAAACCCACGGCCTTCTAAAGGCCGTGTTCCTAGTTACATCCACTGCAACATAGCCTGATTAGCCTGGACTACAACATATTTGAGATTGAATTGTAGCATAGCAACAAAGTTTGCTTGGATCCCAGTCCTGGTGCGCACTCGCATGGAAGCATGGCATCCGCAGCTTCCTCCTCTTCCTCTTCCTCAGATTCAAGCTCAAGCTCTCCAAGCTCTCTGAGAAAGTAAATGCAAAAAAGAGCACGTAAAGAAGCAGAGAAGAGAGAAGCCGGCTGTGCGACCAAAGACTCCAGAAAAAGCTGTCTGCGATGAAAGAGACCAGGGACGAGTTGCCCTTAGAGAAGCCTTTGTTGAAATCTATTTTGAACACCGGAGGAACTTCACCTGTTTCCTCCAAAATGCATACTCCCAGTGGTTCAGTCCACAAGGTTCTGAATACATTGGAATCTCCAACAGTTGCGCAGAGTCAGGGTGGAACTGGGGTGCCTCGGGTCACCGTCCCATCATCGTCCTCACAGCCTCCAGCGAAGCGAAGGCGCACTCTGGCGGAAGGCAAAATGCCGTCAGATTCGCTGAAAAGCACAACAGTTTCAATTCAGGACACCCTGAAAACCATTGAGACTGTTGCCCTTAACATCATAGGCCAGATAGAGGCCATCTCACCCAAACGGCCAGCATCCACGCCAGCAGAACCAGCTCCACGCTTACCTGGACCTTTGCCATCAGTTGCTCCAACTAAGACGGCTGAGAATGCCAAGGTATTGCAGAGCAGAGCTGCACTGCTTGAGCAGATCAACAAAGAGTTGCGGAAGATGCTTTCTGCTGAGGAAGAAAAGTGTAAAGCGGCCGAGGATCAATGCACCATGTTGGCACTGGAGTTGAAGAGCATGTCAAAGGAGAATGCTGAGCTGAAAGCACAGCTGCAGACGCAGAAAAGCGTTTCCGGACTGAGCCGTGGTGCAACATGGCAATATAAAATAGATGATCGTTGGGAAGCCTTTCCACCTGAAGCAAATGAACATATGCACCAGGCATACCTTGAGTACCTCAAGAAAAAACCCAGCAGCAGATACGCAACCATCAACTCAGGTGGAGTGGCACGCATGGTGGATTTTGAACAGATGCAGCAAAAGCACATTGCAACACAGAAAGTCCGCCACATTCGTGTCTCAGCTGGGGTTCCTCCGCAATGGGTCACACCTGCAGCGGAGTTGCTGCAACAAGGCAATGAGTTGGAACCCTTCTACAGGGAGGTGATGGACCAAAAGATATGGGATTCAATTCTCCACATTCTTCAAAATATTGGTCATGCATGGGACCCATCAAAGTTATGTTTCAGCATGAGCAGGGCAGCAATCAAATCGGTGCATCGCATTGAGAACATGCATCTCTGGCATGCTTACAAAATGCGGCTGGCCGCGATGCGACAGGACCATGCCACCTCCAACATCTCTGTTGGTTCTGCAGATCTGGACCTGGACGGCTATGGCAACATCATGGCCCAAGCTCAACAGACCTTCGACTGCGGCGAGCCATTGGCCCTTGATGTTGATGAGAAGATCCTGTTGCATGGCACCTCTTGGCACAATGCAAACTGCACTGTCAGACAAGGCTTTGACAATCGAACTTGCAAGACGGCATTTTATGGTGCTGGAGTGTATTTTGCATGTGCAGCATGCAAAAGCCACCAATACACGCATGCACACTCAGAGGGAAGAACTTTGATCATTGCCCGTGTGGCACTCGGTGATTCCTACGTTGCAACTGAAACTAGGAAGAATGAAAGACTGCCACCAGCCAGAAACAATTCACCTGGCTACTATGGTTCTATCGTGGTGAAGCCTGGCTTGATCAATGGCCACCACAACCAGTTGCAGATGCATCAAGAGTACGTGATCTTTGATAGGGAACAGGCTTACCCCTGCTATGTGGTGCAGTACACTGTCTGAATATCTACAGTTGAGATTTGAACTCTGAAGGAGTGCTTTTCTCCAGCCTGCGGCGCGCGGTCAAAAAGGTCCTATCCTTTGATCCAACATTTGTAGCACTGTGCTTTGATCTTATGAAGGAAGAGTCAAATCTTCATTCCTTTCTTGTAGAGCGCAACGAAACACTCCAAACTTGTGTAAACTGAGATCCCATGCCATCCCAAGAAAAACACACACACATATATATATATATAATTATGTACGTATATATATATATGTACGTAAGGTTTATGGATGTTTATTGTGTTCGGGCAGAACCCTAGGGTGTCAGGCTTCTGTCCCATCCCCAAGTTTGCAATCTCGTTCCGGCGCCTAGCAGCTGACCTGGCCAGGCTGCAGCCGACCTGGCGAGTTTGGGAATTCGGAGGTGCGGGCCCTGCTGGTTATGTTGGTGGGATCTTTTCCCAGCTATATGTCGCATAGGTCATACTAGGTCATACCATAGGTCATACTATAGGTCATAATAGGATATACATACAAAGCTTTTTTTTTGGGTGTGTTCATAGATGTTTCATGAAAACGCATGCATTTTTCTTGTATGGGGATGGGTCAAAACCAATTATCACAATATTTGGGGGAATCAACATCAACAACATCAATTGAGTAGCTATTTCAGTGTACCTAGAGTGCCAGGGGCTTGAGTCATAGCCATATGATATTAGCATGCAACATCGTGTAGTTGGACCCCCAGCACTGCAATGGATTTTGGGTTGCAGAGATGGGCCCCCACCAGAGCTGGGTACGTAGGAACATAGGAATATGACCAGCTGGTTAACACCCTATTGGAAGCTCCCCAGCTATGTTGGGATTGTTGGGATATAAATAGGTAAAAAATCTACGCCACGGCTGCCGTGTTCCATCAATCTGATCCCAACTGCCTAGATTAGACTCAGACATACTCAGAGAAAATGGCATGAAAATGGTAGTTTGAGAGGGAAAAAAGGGCAGTACTCGGAGCAAAATTAAACCTAGTCACAGAGGAAAACTCCGAAATTTTCTGATGTGTTTAGGTCCAAGCCTTGGTTTGTCTTCAAAAGGTTCAAGTTATCCCGTTGATCGGCAGGTCTTCAGTTCCTATGCTCTACCAGCAGAGGCCGCAAGCCATGGCGTGGCTGAATATTTGTTGTATATGGATAAGAAAGTGGTGTAAGGTCATTACATTCAGCCATATCAGCCTGTGATGCGTCGTGATGCCCCAAATTCCTCCGAAAAGTCCACCACGATATGGCTAGCGGCTGGTGTTTTTTTCCGACCAA